AGCAATCTTTTAAGTTAAATTTCAGCTTTTAAAATAGAGTTCTCAAATAGGCGGCGTTGACTTACCTTTTTTTGTTTGTTTTCATATGTTAATGCTTTAATAAATGCAATTTTTATTTGAATGTATTGTCAGGAATGTATTCCAAGGACCATTAAGTATTTTAAAAACAAAAAAATTTTGACTTTCGTCCAGCTAGATCTGCTATCCGAACCACTGTACAGCCCAGTGTCTAGGATGTCTTCAAATTTCATATTTTCTTTAGACGAGAACTATAGCTATTTGACCCATATTCGCTTTTTGATTTCTGGAAATATATTCACAAAGTTATTTTCGGTAATTTGATTATTTTCTCTTCACGTGCTGAACCTATTAAAAGGAATTGGATAAATTAGCAGAGTTTTCCTGTTGTTTTATAAGAAGCTGGATAAAGAAGTATACTTCGTAAATTGTGTTTTTTTGTATTTTTCGCCAATATTTTTCAGTTGTCAAAATTGGACAAAAACAACGCTTCTCCGATTCCCATTGACTATAGTCTATAGATATAGGCTCAGCTTAAAAAAAAAAAANGTGTGTTTTTTTGTATTTTTCGCCAATATTTTTCAGTTGTCAAAATTGGACAAAAACAACGCTTCTCCGATTCCCATTAGACTATAGTCTATAGATATAGGCTCAGCTTAAAAAAAAAAACCTAATCATGTTTAAAGTACGTCCATCTTTTGTATTCATGTTTAAAAAAAAAATAGTAAAAAAAAACTACAAATGAATGATGTAACTTCTTTTAGGTACAATCTGTCTCATTTAGGAACATTTCCATTTTTCATCCCTGGCGAACAGTGACCAATGCGGCTCTCTCACCTGTTATGCCAGCGAACCGTATGACTCCTAACGCTAATATTACGCGTACCTATGCCACTGTTTCAAACACGGTTGCCACTTCATCAAAAGTTTGTGTACCACAATACCCAAGTAAAAAGGTCCAAAATAAAATTAAATGTACCATTTTTGCCGTCCATAAAAAATACATATCTATATACAGTATATTTTGCTTAGCTGCACATCCTTCTTTGCACGAAAAACTTGTGCACGTAACCGAAAACGGCACTTAAGCGAATTTTCTTTACTACTTCAATGAGGAAGGTATCCGAATCCCTATGAAACCAAATATTGGCGGAGCACTTACCATGTAGAAATTACTGCAAGCGAAATTTTTACCGAATGTCATCTAATTATCTAATAACTACATAAATTGATAGCCATTTTCGTTGTTCTGCGAGATGAGCAAAATAAACAAAAGGTTGTAAAATTAGGTAATTGTAGGGCCAGTGCAGGTAAACGTAATTTTTTTTTGATAATTGATACTAGTTGCACAATTTTTAAGGCAGGTATCGCCAATGTGCAGGTATGTTGAATGCATCTATCGGAGCAGTTTCCTTATAAATGTTAAAAATAATGCTTTTGATGCGCATTTTGGGGTAGGTATCTTAAATGTGCACTTAAGCATAGAGGCAGCAAAGCAAAATATACTGTATATAATACGCGAAGGGATTTTTTGTGCAGCATAAAAGATCTGTACCGTTCGCCCGATTTTCAAAACTGAGATGTCAAATTAAAGCGCTTGGTTTGTAAATGTGCAATAAGGTTTTACTTTTTCGAAAAGAGTTGCCACCTGATAAAAAATTGCATTCAAATAATTTAATAATCAATGCCATCAGATCCACACCGTTCGTTCGATTTTCAAAAGTGAGGTGTCAAATCAAAGGGCTCTGACTTTAGGTGTGCAATAAGCCTTAAATTTTTCGAAAAGAGTTGCCACCTGATAAAAAATTGCATTCAAATAATTTAATAATCAATGCCATCAGATCCACACCGTTCGTTCGATTTTCAAAAGTGAGGTGTCAAATCAAAGGGCTCTGACTTTAGGTGTGCAATAAGCCTTAAATTTTTCGAAAAGAGTTGCCACCTTTTAAAAAATTAAGTTCAAAATAATACGCGAAGGCATTTTTTGTTCCGCATAAAAGATCTGCACCGTTCGTTCGATTTTCAAAAAATGGGGTGTCAAATTAAAGCGCTTGGCCTGTAGATGTGCAAACTGGTTTTGTTTTTTTTTTCAAACGGAGTTGCCACCTGTAGAACAATTGAATATTAGAGTGGTTCAAAAAAAAATTTTTTGGAAATTCATAAACCTCAAATTATTGTTATTTGTGATAAAAAAGATACACGTATTTTTTATTTGGAAAAAAAGTTTTATTAGAGAGCGCGCTGGTCGGTTTTTTATAAAAACGCTGATGTTCTCAATTTTTTTAATTTTTTTGACATGTTAAAACGCAGCTAAAAATGTGGTTTTTACATA